AGAATAGACATGAATTGCAGGTTTTGTCTGTTTCTATGATGTCTATGAAGTCATGGCATAAAAAACAGGTTGCGATCGTTGGGGCGGTATTTCACCTGCACTTCAGTCGCCACTCATTTGTTATATCGCTCTCTAAGGCGCTCTTCATTGCATTCACTCATTGCTATTGCCATACATTTGAAGAGCTCTTTTCAAATGAATTTCAAACATCAGTATCACAACCACTCTCTCCACACATCTCTCATTCACTTCACTCTTACACTTCTCCACAAAAAGCATCATTTTTTACATCTTTTCATTTTTTTTTATAAAAGCAAACAGAGACATTCTGTAGGCTAACAGTTTATGATACTTTAAATGAGATCATTAAATTAGTACACTGTTTGTTTAACATTTTTTCAATCTCTTTTTAAATAACTTAATCGTAAAAAATAATAATTTTAAAATCAAGAATTGTCTTTATTCAATTTACTTATTTTACATAAATTTATTTGTCAGCAAAACAGAGAAATACATTTAATAAGAATTGGCAGTAAAGAAATTGAACACAATTCACAAATAAGGCCCAAAATAGCGATAATAACAGGAAGGATACATCCATCGGAAACAGCCAGCTCATACATATGCGAGGGCACGTACTTATCATTTAATAGATCACATCTAATTTGATTAGATTCTGACCTAAATTTTCTAAATTATTTGCATTCATATCAGGAATAATTAATTTGCTTTTGAGTGAACATCCAGTGGCCACATGTTTGCGCCGATTCACCACTTTCTATATAATACCGATCCTTAATCCCGACGGTGTGTTTGTCGGCAATACGAGGTATTTATTGAAATTGAACATTTTTAAAAATCTATTTTTTAATTAAAAAATTATAAAATTATAAAATCACAGAATAATTATTCAAAAATTATGTTTGCTTTACTTAACATGTTAACAAATTTTTATAAGTTTCCTTAAACAATAATTGAATGGTTTTAACAATAACTGTAATTTTATTAATACATAAGTACGAATTAAATTTAATAAGCATTTAATTGGCGACAAATTAAGGCAATTAGTAATTAGATATAATGAGAGCGGAGTTGTGTTGTTGAGTGCAATGTTTGTACAATTGGCAGAACATCAGTAATTGGTAGTGACCTGAATGAGAGCTGGCAAATGGCATCACCGCTAATGCATCNGGCAATTAGTAATTAGATATAATGAGAGCGGAGTTGTGTTGTTGAGTGCAATGTTTGTACAATTGGCAGAACATCAGTAATTGGTAGTGACCTGAATGAGAGCTGGCAAATGGCATCACCGCTAATGCATCCAGAATTAGTGGCCGTAAAACAGGCGGTCTATGGCATCGCAAACACATTTGTGAGTGAATGACAAAACATATTCCCATTTCTCTCATACAAAATATTCATTGCTTTTTTATCACAACTTCTCCCTAACTATCAAGAAGTCACATGAAATTGTCGTTTCGCTTGTAATCAGTTGACTATTAGTTTCATTGCAAACACTAAAACTATAGATAGTATTTTGAAATGAATATTCTGTAATATTACTAACGTTTAATTTCTTTTGAATTTTAATTAAATCTAGTACTACTTACTAGTAAATCATAGATTTTTATTTTTGCATCAAATTATTAATTAGACTGTTCTGTGCATTAAATCACACCTTGATTTGTATGCATACATTTAAATAATAATATAAATTTATGGTTAGAACTTTCAATTATTTTGAAAGTCTATAAATTATATACAAAAATAAGTTTTTTCCATATAATTATATTATGTAATGCTATGAGTAATACATTGTTTTTATCGCTGGGAAGAGGGATGAAGTGGACGTTTACATCGATCTTCACGCACATACATGTCTGTTGGGCGCCTGTATTTACGGGGTTTGTAGGGATGATGTCTTCCATATGGAAAGACACGCTTTGTTTCCAAAATTATTGAGTATAATAGCGGATGACTTCTATATCGATAACACTGTTTATTGCAAACAAACCCATCGCTCCGGCAGTTCTCGGAGGTGAGGATCAGCTCTGTTTAGAGCCATTGGCTGTGCGTTCATGTCTTTATCGCTATTTTATTTTAGTTTTATGAAATTTTCAAAGAACTTTTTTTTATTTATTTTATACAACTTAATATTTTAAATTTTGACATTTTGTTATAAATCAAAGTTTTGTGTTCAAATGTTATTTCCGTAAATATCATACATTTATAGAATAAATTACGATAATATTATAATCACTAATTATATAAATGTTGCAATTTACAGTTATATGACATCTATTTTCCACAATAAAACAAATTGTTATACATTAGAAGTAAGCCATTACGGCTATTATGATAAGCAAACTTTGGGCCATACCATCATTCCCTACACACAGAAAAAATGTATTTTCTTATTGAAATCATTTTCAACTTTCTAACATATTTCTCAAATTTGACTGAGTATTCAATATTTTTTGTTTGGCTTTTAAAATGTCAGATAAATTGCTGGGCGAGAGTGTAGTGATTGCCCTTTTGGACAGTTATCGGATCATTGGCCACATTTCCATATGCGATATCCCATCAGAAGCTCAACATTTGTTATCGCTTTCTAGTGACGGAACGTTAGCCCAAACCGATGACTACAGTGACTACAAACTTAAGGATCCCATCACTAAATCCTCGACAAAGTCTATTCAACCAAATGTCGTTCAAAACGAATGATCAGAAAAATGTCTTTTTATTATATTATATATTTTAGACATTATATTTGCAAATGTAATAAAAATCAATTGCAGACCCAATCAAAGGACTTAATGTCGTTTCCCTCTCCTTTCAATTTTTCAAATATATTGAACTCGTGGCTAAACTACACTCAAAATTGCATTATTTTCACTTCATTTCGATCTCAATTTGATTACAGTATAAGAGATTTGGTTTTGATATTCAATAATATATTTATTTAATGTCTCTTAACAGCAAAAAAATAATTAATCTATTTTATTTGTGAGACATTTTCGACACAAATACCTAACTATAAGAGCCTTAGAGTACAAGAATGTCTCGACATTGTTATGAAATGATTAAATTATTTCTTTGGCTAAACTTTACAAATAAATTCTTGAAATACAATAATTGTATGACATTTTGGGAGAAGAAAACTATAAAACTGTGGGAGAAATGAATGGATTCTCTTCATGAGCGCAAAAAGCAATTCTCGAGCGTTTGATCCGTCACTGACTGGCAATTCATTGATTTTTCATATTTCAATGCATTTGCTTCCCATTGAAAGGCAAAGCAAATGAGTGTATGAGATGTGGATAGATGTGGGACAGAGAGCGCCCGATCAGCACTATTTGCAACACATTTGCAGCACTACTGCCACTACTTCTTCGGCATTCCTCGCAATCATAGCTTCAGATATACTTTTTGTCCGCTTTTTGTTGTCATTAATTTTGTGCGATTCTCAGCATTTATGGCATTCACACGAATACAATGCTATACATTATTATATTAAACGTATAAATACTGAACATTACTTAAATGTGTATAAATATTGAAAAGAATTCAATGGCACACAAATATCTGTAGACCGCTATAACTATAATAAATTTCTCGATACATTAACTTTGAATAGAAATTGGTTATGAATAACAAAATCAAAATAACTTTCTATTTGTAGCAAATAATTGCAAACATTTGCTTTATATTGGCATTTTTAAGACATCAACATTTATATTGGTACGAATTAAAATATAAATATTTAAAGTCTATATAAATAATTAATGTTAAGTTTATTGTATATAATTAATAATGTTATTTAACAATACATTAGTGTTTATCAAAAATAATTACTATGTTTTGACAAAATTGCAGTAATGTTAACGTTTCACATAACATGAATGTAACTGAAAATCAATTTCTCTGATACGCTAAACATGACATTAAGTCTTTTCTAAAATATATTGGGAATCCATTATTTATTAATACTGATATTATATTTATTGTATACTTTATGATTCCTTAAATGTAAAAATATTTTAATACATTTAAATAAATAAAAACACATATAAAAAGTATGTATTTTATTCAAATTATTATTTTAATTTTGATAATTTTTAAGTAAACATGTGTTTGAATATATTATATAGATTCAATGAATCTACTGGTTTATGTAATAGATTGTCAAATTGAATTTCATTCAATGAGATTCAATGAGATAATAATTTCAAAGTCAGTTTATAAATAACATAAAGTTAATTCATGTCAATGACATCGAGATGAAAGTTTGATCATAAAAGTCATTCTTATATATATTTGAATGAAAAGCAAAATAAATTCATTACTCGATTCCCTTCCTATTCTCCAATTCTATGTTCAATAGTGAAGTGAGACTCATATGAAAGTCAATACTCGGTCGACAATAAACTTCAATAATAGTACAAAAACTTTGTTTGAATCAAATATCAAAGCAAATAAAACACATTGAATAACAATATTTAATATTATACTGTATGCAATAAATTTGTGGCAATAATTCTATCTCTTAATAATAATCAATAAAAGCAATACAAGTCGGCATTTAAGGGTTGATACCAGAGGTGGCAAATGGTGTGACTGTGTCCTCCAATGTTCAAGTTTTACGAATCCCAATAAATAGGCTTTCCGTTTATGACTTATAAAAGTGCTCCGTTGGGGGTACAGGGTCTCGATACTTTAAATCTTAATCAATATAGGTTACAAAAGTTTAGCCGCCACTCCAATACTGTACAAGATTTTTAATTTATATCAATTTTTATTTATAAATTAAAATTGCGCTTGCACAATAAATTATTTTATTAACTCCATTTAAACGATTTCAAACAAACACTTCAAAACTATTTACTAAACATACTTTGAGACAATATTTCATTTGATTTTATCAGTACTAAAGCTAATTACAGTAACAAATGAGTGATTGTTTTGATAATAAAGTCAACTCAACAAAAATGAAATATAATATAAATACACATTTGAATAGAAAAGCGTTTTTAAATCTAAAATATGGATAAAATTACATAATATTTCTCTAATGACAGCAAATATAATACAATAATAGCTGTGATCTCACATCACTTGTGGTCTAAATGTGACACAATTGAGGCATTTGTTAACTAATGCTAAACATTAGTTCGTTAAGAGCTCTCAAATGCAAAGCACGGACTCCGCACTGCCTTTCATTCATTCACTAATCAAACTATTTTCCAAAATTCACTCTTATTTTTATATTCAATTTCTTTTTACGAGCGATAAAGTCCTGCATAAATATAATCTTAAAGTTTGATCAGTTTTTACTTATTTTAAATCTTTTTGACATTGACTTCAATTGAGTAATACATTTGCCGTCAAATCTATAGCCAGTGCTACAAAATATGTGAACAAGAATTTCAATCAATTGCTGACTATTTTTTCATACATTTATCACTTATAGCCATACCTTTACTTTGTGTTGATTTTAAGTTAATTAATGCTGAATACTATTTGCAACAACACTTTTCACGTATTACTCGATTGCATAACAAGTGTTTATGTGATTGAACTGTCTTTTCGTGTGTTTTGCGCCCATTTCCCATCTCGAAGAACAATTTAATGGCATTTCAGGGCCCGTCCTATGGTTTGAGTCGAGAATGTCAGCTAAAGGTTGGTTCATTTGAGGCACAAACATATTTTTCATATTTACCTCAAATTCTTAAGAATTAGCATGCTTATCAATAATAATTTTAACATTACTTTTGCATAAAATCACATTTCTATGGATATGTGATATTCAAGTAAAAGCTTGATAATTATCCCAATCATAAACCTCCTAAATATTTATATCATTAACAATAGAAATGGTGTATTAATTGTTGTTTGAATTAAGTCTCAGATGAAGTTTGACATGAATCTGGCCCTCACGGCCCTGCAATGGAAATTATCCCAATCATAAACCTCCTAAATATTTATATCATTAACAATAGAAATGGTGTATTAATTGTTGTTTGAATTAAGTCTCAGATGAAGTTTGACATGAATCTGGCCCTCACGGCCCTGCAATGGGTCCGTGCCATCACCAAACTGCCCCTCGACGCCCCCAATCCAGACATGGGATTTCAGGATCACTTCGATTTCGCAGATTGTCTTAAGGATGGCATCGCCCTCTGCTCGTAACCAATGCTTTACTTGCTTTTATGTCTAAAACTGTTTTCTATGTTTTAAAAATCAATTTCTAATGTTTATAATGAAGATTCTTAACACTTATTTAGTCTCATAAATATTCTGAGACCGGGATCTGTGGCTAAGATCAATGAGACGAAAGCGCCGTTCAAACAGGTCTGTCCCACTCTGTGACTCTGTGTGTCTCTTAAATCAATAAATCCAGAGCTCATTGAAAAGCCATCATTACAGCGATTCTGTGAGGAATACAATTTAACACTAGATTTGACTACAATTTTAAAGTCTCGCACTTAAAGCAAGAGCGCAATCAGTAATGACATCATTATATGCTGTAATAGGATGTCTGGATGTGTTGACCCAAATCCAAATGCAAACTCCATTTCATTGGCTTCTGGAGAATCACTTAAATTATTATTATTATTATTATATTTTATTTATAAATCACTTTATTTTAATTCCCAATTTTTTCTGCTTCAGAGGGAAAACTTAGAGATGTTTCTCAAGGGCTGCGAAGAGTATGGACTCAAAAGTCATGATCTCTTTCAAGTTAATGACTTATATGAGCGAAAGAATCTCTATATGGTATACGAATCAATCACTTTCAATCGCATCCCTGTCCCTTCAAACCAACTCTATATTATTTACTATATTTTCCATGACTTGAGTCTTTCTTTTTGTTGATTTATTGTTTTTATCAAAACTATTAATGAGGAGAAACGCAACCTTTTATTTAATTATCATTTTTGCTCTTTTATTGAAAAGGTGGTCAACTGTTTGTTTGCGTTGGGAGGACTGGTAGGCTAACCTTTGCTTTACATTGTGTTGATCAACACACATAGCAATCAGAGGCACTACTCATTGCTCTCGTCTCTCGTTATTCTTTAGGCACAGAAAAAGCGATTCATAGGACCAGTGATTGGAGTGAAAGTCGCCGAACAGAACAGAAGGAGTTTTAGCAAAGATATCCTCAATAAGAGTCAATCAGTAATTGGCTTACAGGCCGGTAATAATAAAGGCGCCACTCAGGCAGGAATGACCCCCTACGGGGCCCCCCGACAAATCATGCCCGACACCCGATGAATCAAATACATACATACATACTGTATATCGATTGAATACAATGCAATTTCATCCATTAGTTCAACAATTCTTGCATTTCAATTCAAGCAATAATCATATAATACAATGTCTTCAGCGCTTAGAACATACAGTAATGTATGATTTGGTAGGCATTAAAGCATACAAATCACTATTATTTATATCATTTCGTAAGCAGTTTCTAAACCTTTGATTCAAATTCACTTATATATGTTTTAAGATTTTTTCTCAATTTTAAATTTTAATACATTACAGACAAAGACTGTTCGTATGTTGTAATTCAGTTAAAAATAACAATTTTATAACTTAAAGCAACTTTATATTATCAATAATTATATATAAATATATTTAGAAATAAAATTTTATTTATTTAAAATTCTTTTATTGATTTACGAATCCATTACTTTTAATAGTAAACAAATATATGAATACATTTAGACCAAAAAAGCGGTATTTAAACACAATTAGACATTATTAATATATCAATAATAAAATATAAATAATGGCATTCAATTACATTCTGTGACTGTTCTCGTAATAAAATATGAGTCCCAGTATTAGACATCCCGGGGCGGCACTAATTCCGATCAACACTTATCTCCACAACTACTTGTATTTGTGACAAAATAGGACTAAAGAATATTCTCTATTACTTATGAATACAATGCGGGCATTAGACAGACCAGTGAATCAAAATAAATACAAAAAATAGGGCATATTATTGCAAATATAAATTTGTACATATATTGAATAAATGATTAGAATTGAATGTAGTAATTAAATTCCTTAAATATAACTAATATTAATACAATGAATAATTGTATATCAGTTTGTTCTCTATGTTCGTTATATAGAGTCAAATATGCCATAAATGTTATATTATAATTATTGAACTATATTTAAATACAATTTTTGTAGTTTATTAGTTCTCATAATTTGTGGTCATTGTGTACCCTGAATATTATCCATACATGAATAATAATTGTAGTACGGGTACAATGTATTTAGAATGTACTTACCATAATTCAATCATACCAAGTACAAAGTGAAATCATTTCGCAAATGAATCCACTTAAAATAATTGAAATGATGTTCATTTATGAATTACTTAAAAGTAAAATATAAAACAATATCAATAAATAATTAAAACTAAAATATAAAAACAATTAACAATATAATCATAATTAAACTGGGTAATATTGAGTAGAAGTACATTGATAAATCACAGACCATTGAAAAGTAATGGCAATTCTGTTTTAATGAGAGAAACCAATTTCAAATCCGATTCTCGACTCCATTCGTGACTTTCAATGCTTTTCATGCATTTAACCAAATCTTGACTCTTGTGGGGCTCGTCTTTGTATTCAGTATTTCTTATTATATTTAAAATCAAAGTTAAATAAAACCCAATCGTCTAAACAAAAAAATAGTTAAATCATTAGTAATGTATTTAATAGCAAAACCTAAACAAATGAAAACATACTTTGTCTCCAACTGGAAGGTTATTTAACTGACGAATAATTATATCGATAATAACCCGAACATCACTTTAATTAACAGATTTGAGAATCATTAAAATATAAGTAAAAGTAGTGAATGATATCATTGACAACTCACTTGTAATAAAATAGTTTAGAAGTAATAGGATTTGCAAACATTTCAATTAATAACTTGAGAGCAGAATTAGGTTTGGCCTCCAATTGTTGTCTATCTGTTTGCCGACTACCGGCGCACACATTAGTGATGTCTTCCTCCCAATTCAAATAAGAAATCAAATTCTCAGTCAATTGACTGGCATTTTGTCTGTTAGAGAGCGCTTTGAGGACCAGATTCTCGGATGGGTTGTCGAAATGAATGTTGAATGCAAGCAATGGTGCGATACTATTCTCGGCTGAGATTTGACTATTAATTCGGTTTCCGTGAGAATCCATGCATTCAATCAAATCCAGTTCCTCTGAAATGAACTTTTCGTTTATATGCGAATAGATATTAATCGGAGGCTTATGTCCGGTACTGAAGATGGCTGTGAAGACCAGCGCTGCCGAACACCAGCGCTCGGTGTCGTCCACGTAGTGCTGCATCTCTGCGGCCAACTCTGATGGCAATACAGACGTGAGCATAAAATCCGAGACCATGTCCTCGAACAGAGATATAAGACATATGAATATAGAGTACAACTTCATCCGCAATGATCTTCTGGTTTCCATCTGATAGTACGCGACCAACATATCGATCCTCTCGTAGTTTTGACCGCAAATCTCATCCTTAATGAGCGCCGGATTGGCGTTCGATATAATCTGAAGCAAGTCTTCGAGATATTGTTTGATAATCTCTTCATCCCTATGGATGGGATTATTTCGTTGCTGTTCATCATTCTTACAGAACCACAGCTTCCGGAAGACGGACTTTAAGTTCACTAAATCTGAACTCTGGACCAAAACGTTGGGATTATCTGTGTTTTTGGACAACTCTTTGATTATGTTCAGACAATCGCCGCTCCATTCGGGGATGCGTTCGGACAAGCATTGGATGACTGTCTTGACGGTTAAGACACACATATTATGGTTCAGATCTGACGTAACCCTAACTCTTTCGATGAGCTCTGGAATGAGTGAATCACACATTTGCACGCTTTTGGCCGAATCCAACACTTCCGGCCCTTTTGTCTCCAAACCCCTATCGCTCTTAACCTTTGGTTTACTTGAAATACAATTGGTTTCCAATCCTTTACTCATCGGAGTGTCGTCTTCGAGTTTGTCAACACTCTTCTCCTCTTTCAACTGATCCACACATTGTGTCTCCTCTTCGGACTCATTGGTGTCCACTTCTGGTATCACTTCGGGTGTCTTCTTCTTGAAGATCATCTGCACGACTTCGCACCGGATTTGCGCCAATTTTCTGCAACAAACAAAACACAGTGAAAGCCATTGAACGGGTGGACAGTGAGCATAAGTGGACAGACATCTGCGCGTGTTTGACCTGTCGGTCAGTGATGGCATTGGGGTCGTTGTGCTTGGAGTCCAACTGCTGGGCAATCGAGTCAATCAAAGCCAGTAAATCACTTTCGGGGATCCGCTGTAAACAAGACAATCAATGGGTCAGTGGTGGCGCACATGGGATGACAGGGCATGGGGTGATGGCGGACCTGTTCGGCGACCACATAGTCTTTGGGAACGTAACCCAATTGTCCCAAAGTGTTCACACAATAGACCCAATCGTATGGTTTGGTCTCTTTGATGACAATAAACTTTTCGTCCACTTTGAAGTTCAACACTTTCGTGTCATTGGATTCGTACTCAAACACCGATCTCAAGATCGTTGTCATCCTCGCTCAGAGCGGTGTCCACCACACTATCGGTGGCTATTGTCTCGATCCAATCGTTAAATCCATGGATCAATTGGTGGCCAAAAATAGCTTCAATTGAATCACATCTTGAGAAATGAACACAAAATTTAAAATCAAAACAATATTTCCGTTCAATAAAAACGTCAAACATTTGGCACATATTGTGCGATCAAAATATGACTTTATTATATGAATTAGCGTTGAGTTGTGTGCATCAAAAAGGACCGAAAGTGCGAACCGTAACGCGATTTATTGCAAACCAATCCTTGAAAATCATTGATTGCTTTGATATCCTTTGAGATCCAGAGGAAGACATTATCCGCAGAAATATGTCCGGAGTCTTGAAATTAGCGATGAATCGGACTTTCGCCACAAGAGTGTCATCGATGGCCAGTCAGATGTCCCGGAGATACGCGTCGGGAATGCCTCTGACCTTCTCATCACCCTATCAGGTCTGCCCACAAATGAGTTCATGTGATCATACGGTTACCAAATGTGTTGTTTATGATAATCGCAGGTGTTTTACAACGCGGTGGACGTGAAGCAGGTGGATGTGCCCTCTTTTAGTGGCAGTTTTGGTATCCTTCCCAATCACGTGCCAACACTGGCTGTCCTCAAACCCGGCGTCGTCTCTGTCTATGAGAGCGAGGGAACCGTTAAGAAGTATTTCGGTAATTATCACCGCATCGACTCATATGTCTGCATCACTTGAATGCACTGTTAATGTGATGAATGGTGTGATGTCTTATGCAGTGAGCAGTGGGACGGTTACCATCAACGAGGACTCGTCGGTGCAGGTGTTGGCCGAAGAAGCGGTTCCGGTGGAGAACTTGGACAGCAATGCCGCTCGTGAGGCACTGAATCGGGCGCAACAGGCGTTGAGCTCAGCATCTGGTGATGTGGCCAAAGCTGAGGCACAGATTGCCGTCGAAGTGAGCGAAGCCTTAGTCCAGGCCTCGCAATGACCACAAGAAGGCACCGATTGATCGATTGATAGGTTTATTAATTAATTGTTTTGAAAATCTCGACATCTCTTCACACATTAGATCATTATTGCTATGATTTAGAGATTATATGAATAGATAGTGTAAAGACTTTTAAAAATTAAAATATGCTTAAATAAAAACTAAATTATAACTCTGTCCTTGGCCATTTTGATGCCATAATTCTTATCGCAATTCTAATTATGGTTTAAATGTTTCAATACATTTGTTAAATCCAATAAAGGATTTATACAAATTATGATACATTTTATTGTCAGATAATCTTGATAGCTATATATCATACGATATAATTAATAATCTCGCTCTCATTTGTTAAATGTATTCATTGATTGTACAGTACATATCGGTAACTGTATTACAAATTCAAATTATTCTTGAATTTTGTTTCATGT